TACTGTGGAGATGTGCTGAAATGGCGTTTGGTCTCGTACTGTATCGCGTACCTTGTCAGTGTCGTGCGCTTTGCTTGGCCATTTGTTGGGATAAACAGGAAAGTGTGTCCAGCTGAATTCAATTTGAGTTTTGTTAAACTAATTAAAAAGAAGCTTAGTTTACCGCGGAAGCGGTCGCGGCTGCGGTCGCGTGAAGACCGAAGAGTGTAAAGACCATCGACTCTACCGTGCGACTCCACCGGGCAGGGACACCGGCAAAGGACATAAGTATCGCTTTTTATCTCTCCTCTTTCCACTTCTGTTTCAGTTTTTTATAAACTATTTCTTACTATGTGTCAGTAAGTTGTTGTTATTTTAGCATGTGTGTTTGCCTCAGTGTTATTTTTTTAGGATTACTGATAAACTAATGTAGTTTGATTTGTATTAGTTTTCTATTTTAGTTTTAGTTACAGTTGTAGTCATGTTGTCATTTTATTAGTTTTTTTATTATGTCTATATAGGCTTTTTATTAAGTTTTACTTTTATTTAATTTGAGTTATTTCAGTACTTCAACATATAAAATGGAAATGAAATAATATATATATATTTAATGTATTTATACTGTATATATGTACATGTATATGTATATGTGTGTGGCTGTACATACACATATGTAGTTGTTTTTTGGTGTTTGGCTTAGTGTTATGTTAGAATCATTATTATACTCATACCTTTTGTTCTTTTAATATTTTTGAATTGTTTTTAGCTTTATTTTTTTGTTTTCATTTAAATGTTTTAGTTTTGAAATGTTGTTGTATGCATTTATCATTTTTATTAAATTTATTTTATTTTCTTAAATGTGTATATATATAGTATTTATAGAGTTTTAGCTTTTAGTTTTAATTACTTTTTCTTATTTGTAAGTCGCTTTGGATAAAAGCGTCTGCTAAATGACTAAAAGTAAAGTAAAGTAAAAGCTGCTTTCAAAGTGTGGGAGAAGTCACAGTGATGTTGTTTGATGAGACATCGTGGGTGAGGTGTCAACGTCAAATTAGCAAAGTGACAACTAAAAATACAAGATCTGCTGTTTTAGATGACTGACTCTACCTGTTTGATACACAAGTGGGGCTGGAAGTTATGCGCTCAGGGGAGAACAGGGTAAGGCAAGCGATAAACAGAGGAGGACAAGAGGGCGGGAGAGACGGGGAGGCTGGGCCGGCGAGAATGAATGAGAGGGAGGGGGGGAGAACTTTGACACCGAGGGCCAAAGGACAGGTTTGCTAGACAGGAGAGGATTCAGAGAGAGAAAGACCTAGTGAACTAGTCAGTAACAACACGCCTGCCCCTCAGGCAGAGGAAAAAGTAAGAGGTGAAAGAAGAACGAGAGAGTTGATTATCTAGAAAGGGTGCATAGCTTCTCAGTGACTGTGGTGGGATTGTGTGTTTGGGAGCCCGAACGTTTGGATTCAGTCTGGATGGGAATTCCTGCTGTGCTTGTCAGATGGGGATTATTCCATGAACGGCTGGATCTCGTTACTGATAGCTGATGGCGATGACAGCCCTGTTCCGAATGTGGGGCCATAAACCTCAAGAGGTCCAGACCAAACCTCAGACGCCAGTGCCCCATCTGCCCAGCGAGGATGATGATGATGATGACAACGAGACATTGTCCGGGAGAGCTCCGATACGGAATTCACGGTTTTACCGCTCAATGAGAAAGAAAAAGTTGTCTTCGTCTTCAGAAAAACAAGAAAGTGAGAATTCTGTTATTGATTTATATATATTATTATTTAAACTCTAGAATACCCCACATATACTGTTGACAAAATCACAGCAAAATGACTACAACTTAAACAAAAATGACATTGAAAATTAAAATATAAAATAAAAGCTATTGAAAATAAAAAATACTATAATAGTATATAAATAATATCATATTTATTGTTAAAGGAGTAACATCTGTCGTTTTAAAATCAGTGAAGCTTCGCTCATTGTTTGACTACTAACTCTTTATGAGACACAATGTATGCTTCTGAAAGTGATATGTTTGTTGTATTAGCGCTACCTAGCAAATGTGGTGGGGTCTAAATAGAATGCACTATTGTTCCCTGTATGTTGTAAAACTATGGTTTTCTATGGTTTGTATAGACTAGCTTAACTGAAAATGAACCCTCTTCATTTTACTTGTGTGACCTTTACTGTTATTGGCATCTATAAAGGTTGAATGAAGAACATGCACTGACCTTTCCATTCAAGGTTCTTTAGAGTGGAAAAAGGTTCTTTAGATTATTCAAATGTTCTTCACACTAACTTCTTTTAAGAATGATCACAGAAGGGTTCTTTGGGGAAACCAAAGATGGTTCTTCTATGGCATCGCTGTGAAACCCCCCTTTATTCTTAAGAGTGAAGGTGAATCCACAACTGAAATCAAAGTTTTACACTAGTATGATCAAAAGTTAAGTACTACTTCTTTAAGAAGTTAAGGCATGCTTGCTGTGTTTGACATTTGTTCAATGGATTCTTTTGATTTTGATGCCACTGATGAGTGACAGCAGTGATAGATCTGTCTGTCAAACAAGTCCTGGTCCCAATCAGAGCCAAAAAAAAAACATTTAGTGTATTTAAATGGCTTGTACACAATTATGTCTTGGCAAACCAGTAGTCGTAGAGATTTTCTGAGAGAGCGAATGATTTTGCCCCGCGGTAAATTGCAAAGCGGTCGAAACTCGAGAAACTGGTTTAATTGTTCACTGTTTGTGTTTAATTGTTCTGAGAATTACATGTGTGCGTGTTTTTATGAGCACGAGCATCTTTATAGATGCATTACTGAGACCAAATCAACCATTGTGGAGAATGTGAATGATAAAATAACACGATATCCTTAGTTGTGGCTCTGTTGTTGAGTTTAAGCTCTGTAGATGTCAGGATCAAAGATGACACTGTGATGTTCCCCTTGAAAGCATTAGAAAGACCTGCTCTATTACTGGCATGACACTAAGACTTAAACCCATAAACAATGAAACTGACATCCCTTTCATCAGCTCAACTCAGTAAACATCACAATGAATCTTACATAATCTCTACATATGTTGCACAAAAATAGTTTTTAAGCGAAATCAATAGTAATGTCGGGCAAGTGTTCACGATGATGTGTTGGATAAGTCATATCAGTGGTCTATAAAAACTCCTTTATGGTGGCCGCCATTGAGATCACATGAATATTGTTCACTTTATCTTGGTGGCCATCTCATTATCAGTCGCTTTCCGTTGCGAAATTAATAATGGATGAGTATAAGGTATTGCTTCAACTGAAGACCTTTGCTTCTGCGTGATGGTACCTCCACATCAGTAGGTGTCAGTATAAAGTCCAAGAGACCACTGAAGAAAACTATATGTTAGCATTTCTGTTAAACTCAATGGTGGTTGCTTTGCTAGCACACAAAGCCCTGAAAGTATACAAACTTGGAAGTGACTGTCTTTGCTTCTTGGGTATTCCATTTTTGAGAGCATTTTTGAACCCACATTACTCTATTAGACAGTAAACAGATACCTCAAGTCAGTTTCACTATTCTAATAGATCTAAAATGTGTCACTGATGAAATCTCTGTGACTTGTCTTTCAAAAAATTATTTCATCAGAATACGCTGCTTTTGAATGGCTGTCAGTTGAGGTTTTTTTGCCCACATGCTGTATTCATGGAATCTACCAACAACTGCTGAAGCTGACCAGCAAAACAACACAGCATGATATATTAGTAGTTTGGCCTCCAGAATACATCCTTGGTGTACAGACCATACACTGGTTTCTTCATCACCCATTAACACATTAAACCCAATGCTGTGTGAAGTCCTTGGCATGAGGTAAGCAATTGTTGCATACTTACAGTATGCATATTAGCATCTTTTGCATTTTATGTGACACGGTTAATGATTGTATTATGTATAGGGCCTCACCAGTTTTTCCATAGAAAGCTGTTTTTTTATGGCTGAACAAATGAATTCTGTATCTGCATATTTGCTTAAAGCCATTATGAAGCACACCTACTTTACTTTGTCAAAGAAAATGAATCTTGCTTTTTAATTAGGCTATCTAAAGCAAAGGCCAATGCTAAATTCTTTACCATGATGCTATTATTATCTTAAATTGCTTTGTAGTCATCATTATTTTTGACTAATAGCCCTTTTAAATGGTGGATTTGCAATGTGTTAATTGGTGTTAATTTTGAGTAGATAAATAGGAGAAAATGTTCATGTTCTGTTCATAGGAAGACATTAAATCACTTAGCAGTGTGTTTTAGATTCGCTAAAAATATCCGGTTCATCAGAGTTCATACTCACAAATCTGACTACGTTAGTTGTGGGTATGAATCGGATTCTGATTGTGCAATGTTTTTGACGAACAAAATTTTTTTCAGAGATTGTTTTCTAATCTCGGATACTATTTAGGTAAAATAGTATGCAAAATGTGATGTCGGGTTGCGTGCATCCTGCGAATACAACTCAATAAAATAAACATGTTTTATTATTATTTCGCGATACACGGCCGTTTATCACATCACATTTAATTGAGCCTGTAAACTCGATTACTTAGGCCTATTTTTTTTTTATATAACGCTTTAGATTCAGCAGTACGCTACACTGATTATTGTGTATGTTCATCATGTTTGAGCCACTGCTACATTTTTAAGAACATGGGTGACTTGATTACCCAGAATACAGTGCACAGTCCAGCATCTTTTAGTATAAATCATGCTCTCCACTCTGGTGTGGTGTTTGATTTTTGCAGTTGTCTGTGACTGTAGCGTGTGTGTGTTTCTGAGTGAATATGACTGTGTGAATATGTGCTGTTCTGGAATTTGTCACTTCTTTTTTTATTCACTGACAGTTTGGTGTGAATATGAAGAGTCAGAGGGTGTGTGTGAGAATGTGTCTTTGGATTTCAAAGGATTTACTCCACTGCTAATGTTAAATGTAAATCTGTTTGTTTTGTAATGCCTCATAAGTTAGTGCAAGTGCAATGTACACATACGGTAATCCCCCAGTCTTACTGTACAAAGTCTATGCAGTGTTGTTACCCTTAACCAGGAAACAAGTCTCTCTGGAAAAAAGGTTAATATTTAAAAGACCTACATTGTTGTTGTTTATGTGGAAAATCCACAACAACTAAAACAAGTTGGGCTTTATATGCTATATGCAGAAAAAAAAAAAAAAAAGTAAACAAATAAATAAAACTACCAGTAAATCTAAAATGTTTGAAAAAATATAAAAAATGTGATGTCGGGTTGCGTGCATCCTGCGAATACAACTCAATAAAATAAACATGTTTTATTATTATTTCGCGATACACGGCCGTTTATCACATCACATTTAATTGAGCCTGTAAACTCGATTACTTAGGCCTATTTTTTTTTTATATAACGCTTTAGATTCAGCAGTACGCTACACTGATTATTGTGTATGTTCATCATGTTTGAGCCACTGCTACATTTTTAAGAACATGGGTGACTTGATTACCCAGAATACAGTGCACAGTCCAGCATCTTTTAGTATAAATCATGCTCTCCACTCTGGTGTGGTGTTTGATTTTTGCAGTTGTCTGTGACTGTAGCGTGTGTGTGTTTCTGAGTGAATATGACTGTGTGAATATGTGCTGTTCTGGAATTTGTCACTTCTTTTTTTATTCACTGACAGTTTGGTGTGAATATGAAGAGTCAGAGGGTGTGTGTGAGAATGTGTCTTTGGATTTCAAAGGATTTACTCCACTGCTAATGTTAAATGTAAATCTGTTTGTTTTGTAATGCCTCATAAGTTAGTGCAAGTGCAATGTACACATACGGTAATCCCCCAGTCTTACTGTACAAAGTCTATGCAGTGTTGTTACCCTTAACCAGGAAACAAGTCTCTCTGGAAAAAAGGTTAATATTTAAAAGACCTACATTGTTGTTGTTTATGTGGAAAATCCACAACAACTAAAACAAGTTGGGCTTTATATGCTATATGCAGAAAAAAAAAAAAAAAGTAAACAAATAAATAAAACTACCAGTAAATCTAAAATGTTTGAAAAAATATAAAAATAGCATTTGAAACATTTGACCTTAATTATGGTTATAATGTTATTTATATTGTTTAAAATGTATCTCAGGAGGATACAGCTCATAACATTTAGTAAATGTCCAGAATGTGCAAAAAGGTTTTGATTTTTTTGGTCATAACATTATTCCATTTGTATAATTTCATTTTGAAACCTGGTATTATTCTAAAATGTGGAAAATAGTCATAATAAAGACTGAGTAGGTGTATTCAACTTTTGACTGGCAGTGTATATTATATAAAATATGACTATGTATTATATAAAAGGGCAGTAATGCATCACATCTGAAGTACTGAATGTTACATAACATGACTATTTTTTCTAAACAGTCTAGACTTCTTGGTCTAGCAATGTATAGGTAGTCGGTGTACCATATGTTTTGCTGATTTGTTCAAACAATGCAAAGCACACACACTTTTTGAACTCTGCATGCATCATTACAGGGTTCTCTCAAATTGCAGTGCCCGCTGGGAAAACAACCCCATTCACTGTTGATTGCTGCTCCAGATCTGGTGACACTATTGGAAACTGGGTTTAAAGCAAATTATTAACCGATGTATAGTGTGACCATAAAATAACTTTGGTGTCACATTGTGGTGTGACAAATTGACCCCGATCTAGTCTGTCCTTGTTTTTTAATCTGTATTTTAGGAGTTTTTCTTTGAGCTAACCTCAGTTTGAACTCACAGCCGTGATGTTGGTTAGTCAGTCAGGTGTGGTTTAAACCTCAGATCAAGTGCTCATTCTCTCATAGACTAAATGTAGGAACTGGGATCTGCTGTGTGAAGAAGTAGATGCCCATTCATAAAAACAAAATGCTCATCTGGTTTAATTTCAAAAAAGCTAGTTAGACATTATAGTAAATTTCAAATGATATCTTTAAATATATTTTTATTAACATTAGTAAATATTTATATATATTTTTTAATTTTGTTCATAATTAGGCCAGAACATATTATAAAGCATCAGTGGAATTCCTAGCAGTTAAAGTTTAGCATTCCTAGACAAGTCTGTCAAGTGCTCGACAGAGTTTTATTGACGCATGGATCAATATTTATTTAAGGAGTTGTTTGACAAACATGCTGTGCGATCTTCCTGATCACGCCTAGTTAACTCACGATCCAGGAACACAAATAGCACACTATAACCGCATGTGACCGCGTGCCATTCGTATAGACTGAGCGAGCAGAAAGCTGCTTGGTCAAGAGAGCAGCTAAGGGAAACAGTGTAAGGCGGTAATGAAGCATTTCAGATGCGTCCTTTGTCCGTGAGACTTCAGAATTTGCAGAGGAGACAAATTCAGGGGGAAACTGAACAGACTTTCTCGGCAGCCGCACACACACACACACACACACACACACACACACAATTACTGAAAGTTCCATTTGAGGCCCCAGTTACACATTCCTGTGCCCACAAAGTTTCAGGCAGCGCAGCCAGCATTCACAATGGGCCCTCTGTGTTTATACATGAGTGTGTGTGTTTGATTTGTCGGTGTGTGTTTGTGTGTGAATGTGTGTGTGGTAACAAGTGAATGACCACTATGTTGTTTTGCCTGCAATGAAGTCCTTTCTCTGGCAGTCAGATTCATCATCTCAATAGTCTTTAGCCAAACAATTGGTTTTACTTGTCTCTGATACCATGTACTTCTGATGTTTTTTTTTTCCTTCTTATAAAAACATTTTTGTAGTCTCTTACTGTGCCTGTCTCTAGGACTGTCATGCAAGGACGGATTTAGGTCAATTCAATGTTAGTCTATTCCACTCAAATGTGTCCAAACTCATTTATTCTGTTTAATTATTTTTCATTAATCTAAGCCACTCCCATTCTCTCCATCAGGCCCCACCTCCTCTCCTAAACCAGCAGTGGACCCCGCCTCCTACAATAGACTCAGCCCCTCTGCAGCGAATCGACTTACCCCCTCTCCCAGAACACATCAGTGAGTGCACACAAACACATCTATCTATCTATCTATCTATCTGTCTATCTGTCTATCTGTCTGTCTGTCTGTCTGTCTGTCAGTGATAGTGTTTGAGTGTGAGTTATTGTGTGGTGTGATATATGATTCAACTGTATGTTATGATCTTCTCGGGATGAGAGATGTTTGTCTGTGTGTGTGGGTGGGAGAGTTTAGAGTTGAGAACTGAAGGTGTGTGGGTGACTGTGTTTGGGCTTGGCTGTTTCTGTTTGTGTTCATGTGGTCAGCAACATGCGGGCTCACTTATGTGCGTGTGTTTGTAGAGGACACCATATCTGTGAGTGGGGATTCGATCTTTAAAGAAGACTAAGAATTTCTTCAAAGCTCTCATTATTTAAGTATTAACAATATTTATGTATCTTTACCAGTCCACCTTCTCGTTCTGGAATCTCGTTGCCGAGCAACGGGATTACTGTTCTGGGAGGAGTTCGCTCTCGGTCTCCGTTGGCGACACCGGGAGGTTGGCTGCGTAGACAAGAAATGGAAGAGCTGAGTGAACGGACGACAAGTGCCTGCACTATGCAGGACAATGACATTCACACCACTGCCGACCCGGACAACATCACACTCCGGTAAGAGAGACAGACAGAAGAGAAGTTCAATTGTATTTTTTTTTTATCCGTTTTTTAGTGTGTAACTTAAATAAATTCATAGACTGTGTGCATTTATATATTTATAAACAGTATTTGCATTTTATTTTTAAATATATGTAACTGAATATATGTAGGCCTATATATATATATATATACATATATATATAT